TCAACCCCCGTATAAGCCGAAGAAGTGTGGAGATTTTCGAGGGCTCCCAGTGGCGCCACAGCAGCCTCTCCCCGCTGCAGGAGAGAGCGCGACCACACACCATAAGCCAGATTCCACCCTCACCCGAAACAGGATTGGACAGGTACGATGCGAGCGGTGCTGTGGATGATGTCCCACCGCCGTCGCTGTATGATACCAGAGAGCCACTTGATGATGGCATTAGGAACGCCGTCGACAGTGACGGATCGCAGCTTATCGGCGAATTTGAAGAAAAAATGAGAGAACTAATAGATGAGTGGCGAAGTCTCGAGCATGTGTAACCGTAGTTTTCTTTTTCGTATTCTCCTCTTGCCACAGTGTAAGCTTCCCCCTTTCTCCATCCATGCCACCCTTTACCAACACTTGTCTTGCCTTCTATATATATCGAATATCGAAGTACTGTTGTGGAGAATGTGGCCTTTCTTCTTTCTGAGCTTCACTGAGTCTCGATCACTGGACTATTTTTTCGTTTCTTTCCACACTCTTTTGATTCTTTTGAAGAAAAGTGTGTGTAAGTGAGAGGGTGAGTCTCTGTATGAAATGCGGCGTCTCTCTGTTGCACATGTGTGGTGGGTGCACGCAGCCGTCCTCACACCTGGGCGTTCACTGAAGCGCAAACTGAGCCCCGACCGCACGCCCGATGAAGAGGTTCAGGACAGACAAAACACATTTGTGTGGTCGGACAAGCATGCCTTCCGCCCGCATCAACACTTCACGTATGACCCGTGCAGTTGGAGCCGCCCTTTAGAAGAGAAGTTGAAGGCGAAGCGGCGGCTAACATTAGTGGAGCGACTACGCGCGCTAGAAGAGCGAGAAACGGAGGCGAGGCGTGCCTTTGAAGCAAAGGATAAAGCAGAGGACTCCGAGGAACCGATTGCCAATGCAGACTATTTCTACTCCCTGCAAGACACAGCAGCTCTTCCCATTTCCCTGCAGAATCTTCTTGAGCGCATGAATGAGCTCCGTTTACTTTTAACTATGCCGAGGCATGCCGGTATAGCACTGGCAAAGGTGGAGCGGTTGCGAGAGGAGTACAGAGAGGTGTTGCTATCTGTGTATAACCGTGTTCGTGTGGGTGTTGTCGGAGAGACGATAAGCTTTGATGCGCTACTGTATTCGTGGTTTCTACTTCTTGAGGCGGCCGAGCCTTTGTTAGAGGCAGTGACAGCTGGACATGATCGCCAAGAAGATGTTTTGTATGCCATCTGGATGATGCGTGGGGCGCTCGACACGCTGCTTATACACGCTACCAACCATATGGGTGCGTCTGTTGACGAGACAGTATTGCTAGAGGGTTGGGTCGAACTCCTCGACGTGGCGACTCACCCCTTTACACGTCATGGTTGTACATTGCGGAACGACGGTGCTATGCCAGTGTGCCAGCTGAATGCTCTTGAGACGTTGTCGGGCAGTGTATACGCGCGCACAATGCAGGCAACGGTGGATCGAATGGTGGGGGACGCTGGGGTTTCTGCTGGAGCTGAGTTGCTTGACCCGCAGCATCTGCACGCGCTTCTCCGCTGCATGAAACACTGCCACTGCACGGATGAGGCAGAACTCCAACGCGCGGCGTTGGTGACGCGGCGGGTATTGGACGGGATCCTCGCCGTACTCAAAGGGGCTGTGGCACCGTCGTTTCGCCACTCCATGCGTTTAGCGTTGCTTGGAAATGGGACACATCGTGTTGCCGCCGACGCTAGTGGGGTGGAAGTTAGCCGCGCGCCAATTCCCGTCGTGCTGGACATGTGTGACCCACCCAATGGTTTGAAGGAGCCGGTGACCGCGGCAGACGACGCACTACTCGTTACCCAGGCCTGCGTGACTCTTCTGCGGCTGACGACACACGCCTCATCAGACACGCGTGCCAAGACTATTGAGACCGCCGATATACTCTTACAGCTTCTTTCCTACACACCTAACTATGACCTCAGCATTGGCGAAACCGTCGGTTTTGTGTGTGAGCTGCTTGAGGGCGGTGCATTGGGCGACAACGCCAGTTCAAGTGAGCGTCATCTGCGCGTTCTTCTGCTTCTTTCGCGCCTCCAGCTCTCTCTGTGTGACGACCGCGCGTTGTTGTGCCAGCTGCTGTGTCACATGTGTCGTCTCACCCCGCCCAAGGCATCCACAACGACTGAGCTGCAGGAGTGGAAACGGCTGCATGGACTTTCCATGCACAAGCTGCTGCAGACGCTTCGAGCAGAGGAGATGTGTCAACACGTTGAACCAACTGCCGACGGCCCAGACACATGGGAGGCTCTCCTGGCGTTTGGCAAATACAACGGTGTTGTTCCGCTTTCGCTGTGGCGGGACGCTTGCCACCTCCACTTCTCCGGCACTTCCCCGCTTCTACCAGCGTGTGCTCGCACCCTCTTAATGTTGCGAACCCGCTGCAGGAGTAACGGCGCTGCTGTGACAGATGCAGGGAAGGTTTTGTCACAGTGCACGACACACATGGACTTCGAATCCGTGTGCCTGATGGCTAGGCTGCTGCAGATTGCGCTGGGCGGGCGTGTCACCAGTGAGGAACTTACCAGCGATGCCTCTGCGTGGGACGAGGCGCGTGACGCCGCAGACGGAGATGTCGCGCTCTTGTCTCTGCTCGATGCGGCTCAACGGTGCATCGCGGCACGACAAGCTACACAGTCTGTTGTGACGACCTTTTTGTAAGGTTTCCTCAGTGTTTTATGTGTTGTTGTTGTTGATGCCGAGCTGCTTTCGAGCATCATGGGAAGGTGAATATTTTCACTCCTGTCGTTGCCCTTTTGGTAATCCCCGCCCTCTTCGCTCTTATCTTTGGTTTGTTTCTCTTGACACGTGCTTTGCGGCAGGAAGCATCAGCGATCATCAGGTATACAAACCCCTTTGCGCCACGGAAATGCCGGAGGAGGTCATTCTCATGTTCGACGTCGCCGGCGTCCTGACGACGTCACCGTACCCCGCGTCGCGGCGACTCGCGGAGACGGTGATGCGCTGCGTCTTTGAGCGTGCGGAGGCGCATCTCAGGTCGACCATTGGCAATGAATCGCCAAGTCTCTTGGCGCAACACTACTCCAGCTTTTTTTCACTTGTGCGGAATTTCACGGAAAATGCACGCGGCTGTAAGGGTGCGTTTGAGCGTCTTGAGCTGGGCGAGATCAACCGCGTGCAGTTCGTTTCGATGTTCCATGCGGAGATGGAGTTCATGCTTACGGCACTCTCCAAGAAGAATCCGGAGGAGCTGGATTTGATGCGCATCGCCAACCCCAAACGCGTCGTGGCGCTGCGCGAGCGCTACCCGCTGCTCGGGGACCCAGTGATTCAGGAGCTGGTGCGCGAGCTGGTGGACTCCGAGGCGTTTCTCTGCACAATGGAGAAGGTGTCGCCTCGGCGCAATGTGCTGAACCTGCTCCACTACCTTCGGATGAAGAGCCAGCAGGAGATACGTCTCGTGGTAGTGGCGAACACCTGGGAGGTGGAGGGGCAATACGCGCGCATGAGCAAAGCACTGTCGAACGCCGTTGGGGACTCCAATTGGTCGTACTTCCCCTCAAGCTGCCCCATCGACTACAACAAGGGCGGTGTGAAGTCGTCTTTCCTCATCAACGGTCTCTTCGACGCGTACGTGCAGAGTTACACGTTCCACAATCGTAAACCATTTCCTGATATTTTTATTCACGCAACGGACGAGGCGATGAAGACCCGCATGCTTTCTGAGGCATCAATAAAGTTTGATGTGAAGCCCCATATTTTCCTGTTCGACGATGTACTTGAAAATTGCGAAACGGCGCGTAATTTGCCCGACAGTTCATTCGAAAAGGTTTACTACGTCGAAAACGGGGCGTATGACGTGTACGAGGACGTGCTGGACGCACTAAAGACGGTTGGTGCAACGGACTCCTTCTGGGCGGAGGTGGCAAGAGGTGTAGAGAGCGATGTGTCGCCGCTCTTCAAACCTCCACGCGACCCGCAAGGAAAGCCGACCTCGTGGATCAATGAGGAGATGTACAACTACAACAACAACCTGCTGATTCTCCCACCACCGCTCTGTGAAGCCTGCGAGCCACGTGGCGTACTTGAATCCGACTCATTCCTAAACGACAATGACAAGGACGCCATTCTGTTTTATTGCGCACAACACCTTCCGCATCTGTTCCCTATTGATATTCCCAGCACCTACACGAGGAATCTCCAGCTTGCGCGCAAGCCGGGGTTTGCCACGTCAGCTGGGCCCATCGTCTTTGAGCCGATGTGGGGGTCTGGCTTCTTCAAGACATATCGCATCACACTCCGTACCGGAAGTTACGTTCTTCGCGTACAACCCAGCGGCCCAATGCCTTATGGCACTGTCGACATTCGCACAGAGTGTGAGGTGGTGCGCTATCTCAGCCAGGCTTCATTACTTCCTCTGGCCAATTGCCTTCTATATTGCGACTCATACTCTGCCAACGGCCACCGTTTCTCTTTGCGGCGCTATGTTGATGGCGAGATCATCACACACCTCTCGAAGCTCATTCAACCACGCATTCACCGTCCTTACTCGAAGGGGCGTCAGGTGGTCAACCTGGAGTTTGACCCCCGCCGCTTCTTTCTGAACGCAATAGTTGTGTTGGTAGAGTTGCACAGCGTCCCGCTCTTACCGTTTCTTTCACGGCATCGAGGAGAGCGGCCGTCCAATGGCAGCACCAATACTGTGCACCCACTTCTTGAAAAAATCAAGGAATGGGATGCAGTGTACAGAAAGGCAGTTGACGCAGCGAAGCTGGAAGATGGCACATCCATTTTTCAATCAAGAAGACTGGAGCGGCTGTCGCAGGCCCTGGTGGACGCCTTTGATGAAACGCGGCTGCGGGAGCGTCAAGTTCCATACCCAGAACGTTTGGTGCTGATTCACGGCCGCTACAAGCTACAAGATCTCATCTTTGCTCCCCGGTCCTTCGAAGGCAGGCACAAGTACCCACCGCAGCTTCTTGGAGTGATGAATTTTAACTGTGCGGGACCCGGAGACCCACTGGTTGATGTGGCGAGTCTTGCCCTCATGGCGCTGCTTCGGCCACCGCGTGGCATCTGCGACATGCCCAGTGAAGCACGGGCGCTCTTCCCCACACCACAGTGGATTCTGGATAAGTACTGCAGGGCCACCGGGTACATGCGAGAGTTGCCCAAGAAGAAGCGTGAGTCCATCTTTAACGTGTATATGAGCGCCATGTGTCTGCGCTACGCCGTCACACTGACATCGCAGCTTTCCGAAGTGCACAAGCTGAACAATGAGCTCTCGCTAAAGGAGACACGCAACCTGTCCGTCATTGAGCACGCCGTACAACAGGGCCTCGCTGTCATTCATGAGCGCCACTCCCGATTGTAGCCTTGCTCTGTTGACGTTATATATGAGTGTTTGTGTGCATGTGTCTAAAACAGCATCACTTCAGACAAGAAGAGCAAAAAAAAAGGGGTGGGGAAGAGGGGGTAGGCGAACATAAAAAAAGGAGAGAAAAAACAACAAAACAAAAACAAAAACAAAAGGAGAGCAAACGATCATAAAAGAAAATGTGCGAATAGCACCATCAACAATTTTTCAATGAAAGGTATATGGGGGGGGGGNCCCCCCCCCCCACTGTCGCCAGCACATAGGATTGGAAGAAAGGCAAAAACAAAAGAAAAGAAAAAACAACCGAACAACACCGTTGGAAAAATAGGAAAACATCGCCGGCAGGCCGTGTCTTTGTGGATGTATGTGTCTGTGTGTGTATGCATGTGTGTGCATCTATATTTTTTTCTTGTTGAATGCATTTTTTTTTGTTCTTTCTACCAGTAGTGCTCACTGTCTTCCACCCCCCACGCACACCTACTCGCACACACACACGCCGTGGTGTGAGATGTTTGGGTGTGATATATTTACTTCAGTGACTGCTTTTGCGCATGTATGGCTGATGTTATCTCAATCTACGTGAAATATGAGAGTTACAAGTAGTCTTACACTGACCTTACCACGTGGATATCATTTTCTTGTCTGTGTGCGTGTGTGTCTGTCTGTGTATGTGCGTGTGATGTCTTTTTTAAATCGTTTCGTCGCCTTTCTTTTTTCGCTTCTGTAGGTGCTGCACACACACATATATATATATATATATATATAGGGAGANAGCAAAAAAAAAAAAAGGATTGTAGGGTTAGTTTTTGCACTCCAGCGCTTTGGTACAATCCTACGGCGACACTAGGCTCGCCAACACGGACCGTCAAATATAAGACGGTGTTTATCTGCATCATTTTCTTGTTTTTTTTTGTCAATTCATTGTTTTCTCGGTTTTCCATGATGCCTGGTGAGCCGTTGGGCGGCGACACCACGAATCCTTCTACGGGCTCCACCGCCGGGGGTCTGGGCGTCGATGAATTTTCGTATGACTCGACGACGCTGCGCTGCAGCGACGGGACTCTGTACGAGGGGCCGCTTGTCGCCGGCGAGCCGGAGGGGCACGGCGTCTGCGTCTTCCCATCAGGAACCGTGTGCGTGGGGAACTTCGCACGCGGCCTGTTGGAAGGGCCTGCGGAGGTGCTGCAGCCGTCCGGCGCGCTCTTTTCCGGTGTGTTTCGACGCTCCGTGGCGCACGGCCGCGGCGTCTGCCTCCTCGGTGACAGGCTCACACGCGGCAAGTGGAAAAATGGGGAGATGGTGGAGGAGGTGAGGGCTGAATCGGGCGATGGAGACCGCGGGCGCATCTTGGCTTCCGTTGCCAGGGTGTTGCGTGGCCACCTACGTGTTCTTCTCTGCGATGGAACTACATCACAGCCCATGAATGTCGCCGGGGCCACACGCATCAATGAGCCGCTTGTGCACTTTGGTCGAAATCAATTAATGGGGCCGAACTCTTCTTTTGCTAGCGAGGAACGCAATGAGTATCAAACTGGCGTCACATCGGGCAATGCGCCCACAAGATCCCCATCGTATACACGGGTGCTCAATTCGGGGAACGTGCAACAGAACCAACCGATGGATTTGGAGGGATCCTTCTCGTACAGTCCGGGGAAGCGGCGGCAGTCGGCGGCTGACGGCCATCAGCAGGAGAAGTCAGTGCCGAAGAGTATTCTTGCAACAGGAGCTTCGCCAGAAGCAATATTCTCCTCTGCTGCGCCTGCGGCGAATGAGATGTTCTCACTAACACAATACGCAAAATACTGTGCTTTTTTTTTGTTCCCGTTCCTTTCGTTACCACAGTTGCCTTTCTCCCCAATACGCAGTGCAATGCTGGATATGGAGCGTGAGTTTGTCGTCAGCGGTGCCCCTCTCTTGAGGGAGTTCGATCCGCCAGTTGTATCTTTATACCTCACCACTTTAGCTATGTGTTGCCAAATCGCAGCCACTGCGATTGTGGCAATGAAGGTCAATCTGGGGAATGCGAGTGAAGGTCGTATGACCCTTGCGGAGATGTCTGTTCCGTGTGTGCTTTGGGTAACGCATGCTGGCCTCTTAGCGGGATACAATAGCTATTTGCGTGTGGCGCACGCACTTGAACGTCTTGACCGTCGTTTAACGCCGCGCCTCTCTGCATTCGCTGCTGGTCTTGTGGATGCCAAGACAAATGTCTGTATATACACCTGGGATGATGAGGGGCGTGGTATGGTAACGGACTCGAACTACCGGTACCGCTGGGTGATGGTGTCTCTCTTTGTTGGCATCATCATGGGAATAGCAGCACCTCTCACGCGTTTAGGATTTGGGAACTCATTGTTCGGGAGTGATGTATACGAAAGGTCAGCAGCAATTCTAGTCCTTTCATCTGAGATCTTGTTTTCCTCCACCCTTGCGTACTATGTGGTGAAGATGACAGACATGCAGCGACAAATGTTGGAGCAAATGCGGGTGCTCACGCGACTAGCATATCTTGAAGACAGAAGCATGATGCGGCCAAGTGAGTTCTTGAAACATCGGTTTAACTTTGAAGAGCCGTTGAATCTGAATGATGTTTTCAGTGGCGTAGTCGGATGGTATGTCGTCCGCTCACTTGTCCTCTATGCAGCCACGTGCTCGAACCACGCAGCGCGAAGTACTGCCATGAGTATATTTTTCTTAATGGTGCTTTGTGGTTTTTTGGTGACCATTGGAGACATTGTGTACATGCTGGTTGCCGGCCACGTCCACAACGGCACCTACTTCTCTACAGGGCACACTTACGCTATTGTACTTTGTACCGCTTGGGCCATTCTGCTCCTGCGATACCTTTACGTGTGTGTTAGAACAGTCAGCGAGCGTGGACGCCATCTCTATCTTCTCGATGTGGCGTCGCTCTACCACCGCCTAAAACAGAAAGAAGGTGACTTTAGCGGTGACACTATTGCAACGTGCCGTCGAATGCTGGAGGCATACGATCAACTCCCGTGCATATTCTCTACTTCTGTCACGCCGCTTATGCTTACGGTCGTTCATTTTATTCACCTGGTGGCATTAGTAGCTGTTTTCGTAGATCTGTACATCGCTGTCTCTTACCGCTAAGCAATGATACCATGTTTCATTTCTGTAATTTCATCCTGCGGGACTATTGGCATGCTGAATTGTTTTGAACTCCTGCTGCGCATCACGGTGTATGTTATTTCCCTTGCCTTTCATTTAGTGCCAGTTGCACGCCGGTTTCTTACGTAGAGGGAGAGAAGACTGCTGCTGCCGCTCCCAGTAGATATATGAAGCGGCCGGTCTGTATCACAGGCCGCGCTTTCTCCCCGGAAAATGAAACCATTCTGTGGACACATGCAATGGCGCGAGGCTACAAGACGAGTGTGTGGGTCCCAGAAAACCTTGTCCAGCGCCTGCAACTAAAGTTTCGCGGCTGCATGGCGTCATCACCCATCGGTGTCAACGCCGCAAATGGGAGACGTTTCTTTTACAACATATCACAACTTGACTGCCAGCAGGAGAGGCTGCGAGCAATGGTCAATGATCTCACACTGCCAGCACAAGCGGTAGATTGCGGTACGCCATCGCCCGCAATGACATCTAACGTGTTGCCGTTAAATACTAACGGCGAACCGTTCCCACCAGAGTTTGCGGGGGAGGTGTTTGCACGCTTCGCCCACCGGAAAGAGTTAATACACAGCCATTACTGGGCTACAGTCGACGAAGCAGAGATCATCTTCGCCAGCCCTTTTAACACATCTTTTCTCACAGAACAGAACGCCGTGACTCTTAACGGTGCATCCCCCTGTCCCCGCGTGACTTACTTTAACGTGAGTGGAACACGCCGACCTGAAGTTTTCAACACATCCACGTGTTGCCGCTACTGCCCAGTAAATTGTTGCGGTATACCTTACTCCCCGGTAGTCGCAGTTCACATGAAGGCGTCCGCCATCCGCCACGGCTGTATGAAGAGCGCGGTGTGGATGACGACGCGGCGCGTGGCTTGTTGCGGTGGCCGCATCGTCAGCGGTGCTAAGCCACTCACCCTTTGCTTCGATGATGTTTACCACCTGGTGAACATCGCCATGACAGATGATCCGGCACGTTTAATCGAGCTGTCCCTGTCGCGTGTGCCGTCTGGCCATGCCGACGACGGCCCACTGACGGTGCCGTGAATTTTCCTACGTGTTTCTTAATGTCTTTAGTTGTCTCTCTGTGTGCGCACGGTTGGTGGTGCTTCATATGGGTTGTCGTTGCCTGTTGTTGCTGTTTTTTGAGGGGGCTGTGCCCTTCGCTCTTACCCCGCTTGGGAAGGAGCTCTACGCACTGTGTGATGCTCAAATGCGTGCTGGCGTTGTTTCTGCCTCCTCCTCCTCCCCCGCCTTCTTTAAGAACCCGAAGGGTGGACGGCGAGTGAATGCGTGCGGCGACGGAGGTGCTGGAGTGCGATGCAGTGTAGTGCTGCGCGCCGCTGCTTGGCCGCCCTGCAGCTGTTCGCGCTTGAGCGGCGGAGGGTGACGATGTCGTACAAGCACTTTGAGAGCGCCGTGGACATCGAGGCCGCCTTCCGCCGCCTCCCAGCCGAGGAGGTAGAGTCGATGGAGCGCAGCGCGGAGGCTCTGCGGCATGATGCTGCGTTGACGCCTATTGTGGAGGACACGGATGTGGACGGCGCCATGGCCACAACGCTGCCGAAAGAGAACGAATGGATGGTGCGGCAGTCGGCTGGAACGGATGAAGACGCCCTGTGACCTTCCTGAGCATATTTGAGGTTTGTGGCATGTAGCTATCCTGTTCGATTGCACCAGTGCTTAGCACCACTACCCTCATAATTATAATCATCATGCGTGCTGCCGCTGTCAACTCACTGCTCCTGTTTTTTCCCTTTTGTGCCGCTGCTGTTGCCATGCTTCTAAAGTAAGCCTCCAATAAACACAATGGTGCTCGGGTTTTGTGATCGCATCACGGTTCCCCCGTCGATCAATGAATCACAGCGCTTTGGGTTCGTCGTCTGTGGAATGTTCTGCGCCCTCGCGGCCGGTGCCATCTATGCCTTCTCGCTTATATCCGGCAAGATGACGGACGACTACAAATTCTCACAGAATGACATCACTACGGTCTCCACCGTTGGTATTGTACTTGGCTACTTCACACTGCCCTTTGGGTTCATCTACGACTACATTGGGCCGAAGCCTATCTTCGTGATTGGCATTGTTGCCTTTTCTCTTGGTGCCACGTTGTTCGCATTGACGTTCCAAGACACCATTGGTCACAGTGTGGCGAGCCTCTCAGTCATCAACGCCATCATGAACATCGGCTGCTCCATGTTTGACATGGGCGCCATCCTGTCTATCCTTAGTTGGTTCCCCATTGACCGTGGCCTTCTGGTGGCTGCGACCAAGACAATGACAGGACTGGCTGGCTCCGTGATCGCGACGGTGTACAACACGTACTTCTCCGGCAAACACTCGGAGTACATGTTTTTTCTCGTCAGCATGGTCGCGGTGATTGGTATCGTCAGCTTCATTTACATCCAGATCCCGCCGTTCCACATGACTGGGTACCGCCTTAAGCACTACACGGAGGAAGAGTATGCCCTTGCGCGCCGCGTGGAGCACATGTACCTCGTGAAGAAGGCTCCCCGCCGACGTTTCCTGGTCCTGTTCGTAATTGTCATTGGCCTTCTCATCGTAATCACGACGCAGAGCATAGTATTTGTATTTGAGGATGATGAGGTGCCGTTCTACAAGCGGAACCCGCCAGCAATTGTCATGATTGTGCTGTACTTTTCGCTAATTATTGCGGTTCTACCACTGCCCTGGCTGGACGGCCCAACGAGGGAGGAGGAACCCAATAGGGAACCTGTGGAGCTCAGCGGCAACATGAGCGACGGTGACGGGAATGCTGTTGTGGATGCTGCGGATGGGTCAAAGAATGTGAACGAGGAGGAGCAGTTATACCACAATGACGACAGGAACTTCCCACAGTACCGCACCAGCTTCTTCCACAACGTGCTTCACAACATTCCGCTGTGGTGCGTGTGGATCAACGCTGTCATCGTGTCGGGCGGTGTGCACATTGTGGTGCTGAACAGCCGACAGCTGTACGTGGCCGTCTCTGAGAACACTGAGGATGAGCAGCGCCCCAGCCTGTATGTGGCGCTCACGAGCGTTGGTAATGCCCTCGGCCGACTCGCTGTCAGCTTCTACGAGGCGTGGAACGCTAGCCGACCACTGGAGAAGCGTACCTCAATCACTGTCACGTACTGTATTCCGGCACTGTTGATGTGTTTGTCTTGCATATTTTTCCTCATTCTACCGGCGAATGCGCTGATCGTGCCGATGCTGCTTGGTGGGCTGGCCAATGGTTCTTACGCCGCTGCGCTCGTGCTGACTGTCCGGACAATTTTCAGCATTGATGTGGCGAAGCATTACAACAGCATCTTCTTCTTTGATCTCGCCGGTGTTATATTCTTTAACCGCCTTCTCTTTGGTGAAATCATGACGAGGAATTCTGTCATTGGCCCGGAGGGGCAGCCGCAATGCTTGGGCCGTGATAAGTGCCTGCGGACGACGTTTATTGTAATGGCCTGCCTTTCGGCGTTCGCCTTCGTGGCGAGTCTGACAATGCACATTGTGTACATGCGCTTTGTCCGCGATAAGTGGGCTGAGAATTCGGGGCAGAGGGATGAGGAGCAGGTGGAGACTCAGCTGGAACTTATAGATTGATTAAAGCGATTTTTTTGTCTTTTTATCTCTTGTAATTAGTGTCTTTTTTTGTTTTTTTTTCTTTTTTGTGGCTAGCACAATTTTGTTGTTTACTCTGTGGCAAATGTTTATTCATTTTTCTGCACCCCGCTGCCGGGAAGAAGGAAGGAAAAGGGCGACAGGAGAAAGCGACTATTGTGACTATGAGCCGACCCCCTGACAAACCCGATGAGTGACGAGAGTGTCATGGCCGCACAGCCGTGAGTTTTTTCTGTTATTATCAGCTCCATTGTTGTTGTATTACCACTTTAAAATAGTGCGATCGTTGTGCATGATGAATAATATATGAAAACGAAGAAGGCTCGAAAAATGCAGCTCGAGACAACGACGGTGAAAACGTTTTTGATAAGATGTCTTTCGCCTAGGAAATATTGATCGGCTTTCGTAAAAGAGCATAATACAAAAATATATCAAATGAACGACTCAGTTGGCTGAAATTCGGTTGCCAACTGGTGTCATTGCTCACACACGAAATGCGTTTTTGGTCTTGACCTAAAGGCGTTCTTGGAGCTGGTTCTCCCTGACTGTGTGGCTTGGCGTTACAAAGTGCGGAAGCGTGCTTATTTGTGTGGTGCTTCAACCTTTACAACATTCCACTCTTCTTTCTGCTTTAATCCATTGCCTAGCGTGACCTCTGCAAGGAGGTGCTGCCCATGATGAGGACGTAGACAGCCAACGCCAAGGGGCTGCCAACCACCAACAGCAAATGAATAGTGCCGGTCTGCGACGAAGGTGGTGCCAGGAGCGACTTGCCTCTACTTCATAAGGCGCCTCTGTACCGTGGCATTTGGGAAGCACTACGATTTTCTTTCCTCTTGTACATATGCTTCACCGCTTCTTCTGGAATAGAACTTATTTGGTGCAGCATCCGCCATCCGCCATCCGCCACGGCTGTATGAAGAGCGCGGTGTTGATGACGACGCGGCGCGTGGCTTGTTGCGGTGGCCGCATCGTCAGCGGTGCTAAGCCACTCACCCTTTGCTTCGATGATGTTTACCACCTGGTGAACATCGCCATGACAGATGATCCGGCACGTTTAATCGAGCTGTCCCTGTCGCGTGTGCCGTCTGGCC